TATCTGCCATAAATCTATGAAAACTAAATCATAATCTGTAGACTGTCAAAGCCTTGTCCTTGCTGCTAATGACCCAATCACGTGACATCAGCTGGGGCTCGAGTTAGGAAACCCTTTTCAATTTCCCTTTCATATCGTAAACTCATTGCATAAGTCTTCAGCATATATCTGGCTATATCGCTTGCATTGCGTGTCTGACTCCCCCTCGCTGTACCTCCCTCTTTGCCGCTCTCTCTCTCTCTCAATTTACCCGTGTTAATTGTTTCATATTTTCAAAGTTCCTGTCGCGTTTTAATTGCTCTGCCCACAGTTTGTCCACCCAATTCAATTTGGGAAAGTGGCGCAGCACAATATCATGTCATAAAGAACCCAAACTGTTTGCATTTACATTCGAACTCTTCTATGGAAATTCAATTAGGCACAATCGAAATCACGCAATTAGTTAATCAAATAATTTTGATTATTTTCCGAATGGGTTGGAGGAGGTCGGACCCTGCTCCCTGTTCGGTCGTAGGCCGCCCCTTGGAAGATTTATGCATTGAAATGACGCCTTCAATGTTTTGGGCTCAATCATAATTGTCGTTTTGTTCAAGCGGCCTCATCAGCACATACATTTTTTGCCACATTAAGCAGCGGGGCACACGACCAAGGTATGTCATATGAGCTGCCTAGGGTCGGTGTTCGGGGCATGGTCGGGGTAGGGTCATGCTCTGACTACCCCCGCTGTCAGTTTATGTTTTTATCAAAGGCACTTCAACACCCGCGACGGGCAGCTACGTTTTCACACATTCGCCAGAGCAACGGGCGAATGAGAGAGGGCGAGAGTGAAAGGGAGAGCATGTGAAATGCGATAGCCGAGCTAAAAGGGTTTCCAGACATATGGTCGAAACAGTTGCGCGAGTCCTGGACGCAGGCGCAGTCATACACATTTTTTCTTGTCCCCGCTTTTTTTGTAAGTCTTTACATCTGCTGCTGGCCCACCCGGCCAGACTCGACTCGACTGAGGCTGAGTCTGCGACAGAGTCTGAGTCTGAGTCTGCGGCTGAGTCATGTGTTTGGGGTTTCTACGCGAGAGTTTTGCCAACTTCCGCTACGTTTTCGAGTTGAGCAAATTGACATTATGGCTCAGACTGGGGCCGCAACAATGGGCCAACTAATTGGGGCTCTGTCTAGGCATGGATACGGCTCAAATGCAATCCACAAATAGAAAATCCAGCAAGCACAGAGAAAAAGTCAAATAAATTGTATATTTCTTCTTCTTGCCTTTTGCTTCTTGTTTTGGAGCAGTTGTGGGGAGCACTTGTGTCAATTGACAGTATGCGTAGCTTTTCGAAAGGTTTTTCTCATTATTAATAATAATTTTTGTTGTTTTCTCCATAAATGTTGTTTTCTTATAAATGTCACACACGTAGCCGAGGTGGTTGGGAATGGGATTGAGTTGTGTCAATACGGGAGCGACAATGTTTAGATACTGTTGCATGTTGCAGGCAGACAAACTGTGCAAACATTTAATCTGCTCGATGCGAAGATGTTACGAGGCGCAGAGCAGGCCCGTTGCCCAGTCCTCGATACACTCGATACCCAATGGCCCCACAGCTGTGTTTGGCCTACAACAACACACACACACACGCACACATACACGTATATGTCTATATGTCAACATGATATACAGATATTATATATATATATAGCTTAATAGCATTTTGTCATCTTGGAGAAATGTATTTCACTTGAGATTTAACATTGAGCCGTAGCTGAGCTGCTGCT